GGGTTTCGGGTTTCGAGTTTAGGCTTTACGGATACATGTTTAAGCATCGACACGCGGGTTCCTGATGCAATTCAAGGATCCCACACACCTCCGGCAACTGCCCTGCACCCTAAACCCGGCACCCTGCTGCCAAACACAGCACCCTAAACCCTAAACCCTAAACCCTAAACCCTAAAACCCTCAACGCCCTAAACCCTAAACCCTAAACCCTCAAACGCCCTAAACCCTGAGGCCTAAGCACCCCGAATCCTAAACACACCAAGCCCTCTTAACTCCAGGGCTTAAGCCCCAAACGCTCTACCCCCCGAATGGGTTTAGGGTTTAGGGTTTAGGATAACCCCTACAAATTCTTGACCCCGAAGCCTAAGCCCTAAACCTCAAACCCTCTAAACCCCGATCGCATAACACCCCAAACCCTCAAAACCCAGAAGCCCAAACACCCCCAACACTCTAGCCACCGAGGCTCAACCCCTTCAAACTCGAACCCCTGAAACTTATACACCACAAAAGCTCTAAGCCCCGGAGCCTAAACCCTCAAAGGGTCTAGGTTCAGGGGTTTAGGGGTTTAGGGGTTTAGGGTTTAGGGTTTAGGGTTTAGGGTACAGGGTTTAGGGTTTCGAGGTTTAGGGGTTTAGGGTTTAGAGGTTTCGGGGTTTAGGGTGTAGAGGTTTAGATGTCTTAGAAAGCTCTAACCCTAAGGGTCCAAAGGACCTAATAATCATGTACGTGGCTTAAGGATAGTAATTTTGTAGGTTAGTATTCAGAAGAGTTTATGATTATTAGGTACTTGGACCCTAAACCCTAAACCCTAAACCCTAAAGCCCCGGGAAGCCTCCACAGGAGAAGGACATTCAGTACAAGACCCAGGAAGCACAGAGGCTGGCACCAGGGTCGTCTTTAGAATTTGCAGGGTCATTGTGGGGCTTGGGTTTAGGGTTTAGGGTTTAGGGTTTGGGGTTTGGGGTTTCGGGTTTAGGGTTTAGGGTGTGGGGTTTGGGGTTTGGGGTTTGGGGTTTAGGGTTTGGGGTTTGTTCGAGTTGTCAGCCTGATGTCTTTGCCAGACGGAAATCCGGAGCCGGGGTTTGCTAAGCGCGGGCTGCGAAGAGGAGTGTTCGAGAGACATTCGCCGGCTCAGCTTTCCGAGTCGGAACCATCTCGAGTAGAAGTGCTAGAGCCAGCACATCGAGTAGACATCAGTAACTCGGATGATGAATCATCAGAAGTGAAGATCGAAGCCGTTCTCAAGTCAGCGTCATCCACGGCAGAAGGTTCCAAGACGCCAAAGGCTCCTGCAATCCGTGATTGGGTTCCTATAGCTGCGCCCGCTTCCTTCACTCCTTGTTCCGAAGCTGGCGAGTCAGAACGGTCGTCGCAGCTGAAGTTCGGCGGCATCACCAGTCAAATTCGGTATTCTGCAGATTTGACAAAAGCGGACATTGGAGACTTCGAGAAGGTGGACAGCGTCTGCACCCGCGGCAGGAGAATTGCAGCGCTGGGACCAAGCGAGCTGGATGAGATTGTCGGCTTCACACTCCGCGGCGCTCGAACACGATCCAAGGGGCATGGCCTGGTTCGAGGCCTTTCTACCATGCTAACCGTGGTGTGGGATCTTCCAACCTGCTACTCGGAGGTAGTCCGTGGGTCAGCCATGCGAACGCTTGAGTATCTGCTCATTCGAGAAGGACGTGGCGTTTTGTTCTCGGAGCATTTCTACGTATTCAGTATCACAGTGTCCAAGCCCAGGGATCCGAATGTTTCAGAAGCGGGTGGCAGCGCCGGCGTGGTCGACAGATTCAGAATACTGCTGGTCAAGCTGACACCGTCTGCATACGCTTATTTGCGCAAGCAAGAGAACATTCGAGATCCCTACACCGGCAAGACCGTGCAGCTCCAGCCGGGCGAGAGCAGACCGTCTACTGGCTTGCTGCGCGGGTACGTAGAGTACGTAGCAGCTCTGTTTTGGAACCGGCTAGGAAAGGAACATGCAATCGTGGTGCACTCGGACGCATTCGCAGTTGAAAATCGAGATATCTGCGTGCAGAGCACTTCCCTAAGCCTGGCCCGTGCTAGCTCCAAGGACTCTGACACTCTCAACTTTGTGAACAAAAGCCTCGTCAACGAAGTGAAGGAGAGGTTTGGAAACGGATTTCGCCTGCTTCTCACGAGTCGACGCGCCAGGTACGTGGAGGCCCTCTACTTCAGCGAACTCGGCCAGTGGAACACCAGCAACAGGCTTCTTCAGGGACACGGCATGGTGGGCAGAAGATTCAAGCCAGGCGGGTACATGCATTCCGCGGCCGTAGCAAGTGGAAGCGATAATGATGCAGATTGCTGGACCAGAGGCGGCTACGAACAGATGATCCGGAAGGTGTAGGTTCTAGCGATGTCGGGTCTTCGGTGTAGAGGTATAGAGTTCATTTTACACAGCCACTGGCTCGAGACCTTCGGGACGCAGTCCTAGACCTGCCTTTCTACTTCAGCGCGCAATGGTTGAGCAACTGACG